CTTTTCATTTCCATTGTAGTTTAACCTTTTTTATCAGTAGGAGTAGGGCTAGGCTTTGAGAGAGCATTGCTTCTTGATGGCAGTTGAAACAAGGGCCAGATCTGGAAAACATTTAATATCCTCTCTTGACCTGAACTTTGAAAAATAAGGGGGCAAAACGTGCAGTTTCCACAGTCCTGCACCTGTGAAGCAGTAACTCCATCCATCAGTACAGCCAGGGGACTGATCAGCTGGAAAGCAGTTTTGCAGAAAACAACTTGGGAATCCTGGTGGACAAGAAGTTGGACATTGGACAGCAATACACCCTTACAGGAAAGACCACCAGCAGCATCCCAGGCTGTGTCATGCAGCGCATTGCCAGAGGGTCAAGGGACATGATTATCCCTCTCTATTCAGCACTGGTGACACCACATCTGGAGTCCTGTGTCCAGTCCTGGGCACCCCAGTACAAGAGAGACATGGACATACTGGAGGGAGTCAAGTGAAGGATCATGAAAATGATTAAAGGGTCAGAGCATTTGTTGTACAAGGAGAGGCTGAGGGAGCTAGGATTGTATAGCCTGGAGAAAAGGCTTGGGGGTATCTTATCAATGGGTATAAATACCTGATTTTGGTGGTGGTGAGGGCGATAGAGACAGAGCCAGACTTTTCTCACTGGTACCCAGTGACAGAATGAAAGGCAATGGGCACAAACTGAAATACAGGAAATTCTATGTAGACATGAGAAAAGAAACTTGTGAAGGTAGTTGAACACTGGAATAGGTTGGTTGCCCAGGAAGGTTTTGCAGTCTCCATCCTTGGAGATATTGGAAATCCACTGTGACTAAAAATTCCTTGGTTTGTTAGGTGCTAAGACATACTGTCATACAGCACTTAAGGGGAGGGGAAAAAAAGGGGGGGGGGAAGCACTCTAATTTTAAATTACTGTCACTTACTTTGCATAGTGGAGACAGAAATGTGTTGGGGTTTTTTCATGTGCCAATGTGTTGTGTAGACCATTTTGGTAATCTTGTCCCCATTTCTTGTAGGATAGAGAAAAAGGGGAAAACATTTTTAAACTCTACTGTGATAGAAGTGCCTGTTTGTTCTTTACACATGGACTGCATGCTCTTACTTTAAAAATACTTTTGTTATTCTAAGGGTGTGAATATTTTATGGTCTAATTTTTATTTACTGTGTGCAAACCAGGACTATCAACTGATATATCAATGTCTTTTGTAGCAAAAGATAATCACATTAAAGGAGACTGACAGTTGCAGACCCGTTTTCTTGCCTGGATGAATTCAGTTGTGTGGCAATCTTGGGTAACTTACTGGAATCTAATCGTACTACATTAAGACTCCTGGGGGTTGTTTTTTTGTTTGGTTGGTTGCATTTTTGTCAGAGGACTTTCTGCCAGTTAACTTTCTCAGGAAACTTCTGTATGTGCAGGGACACCTGCAAGTTCCCAAGTGATTGATAATTTTTGCTTTTCAAGGTGCAGTTTTTAAAATTGATTGAGAGGTATGCTGTACCTTTTCAAACTACGTTACCAAATGAAGTAAAAATCTTATCTTGAAGGTGCTATGCTGCTAAAATGGATTTGAGAAAATTCCTGTGTTTGATAGGAGTGTCTGTGTACTGCTTCCAAGATGTTTTATGATTGCTGTCTTTAGCAGGAATGTCTTTAAGTTGGTTTAACCCTTCATTTACAGTAGTTAAAACATTCCTTACCTTGGGCTTAAAAAAAGGAGAAAAACAATTCCTACAACTTGATGTAGTACATAAGCAGTTGTGGTTTTTTTTCTTGTATTAGTTCAAGGGCAGCTCTTGTGATTTATCTAAGTAGGTCAGTTTTTTGTAGAATGAAGATTAGAGTGCTTCCATTTTTGCACTTGTTCTTCCATTAAAGCTTTTGTATTAATATTCTTGACAAATCTTTATACCTTGCAAGCAAATTAAATTTTCTTGTTAACATTGGCAGTCTGCCCTTTTAGTGACTACTTATTAGGTATGAGTTTGCGTAACATCATCTTAATATTATTCTTAGATTAAAGAAAATTCCTGTGTTTGATAGGAGTGTCTGTGTACTGCTTCCAAGATGTTTTATGATTGCTGTCTTTAGCAGGAATGTCTTTAAGTTGGTTTAACCCTTCATTTACAGTAGTTAAAACATTCCTTACCTTGGGCTTAAAAAAAGGAGAAAAACAATTCCTACAACTTGATGTAGTACATAAGCAGTTGTGGTTTTTTTTCTTGTATTAGTTCAAGGGCAGCTCTTGTGATTTATCTAAGTAGGTCAGTTTTTTGTAGAATGAAGATTAGAGTGCTTCCATTTTTGCACTTGTTCTTCCATTAAAGCTTTTGTATTAATATTCTTGACAAATCTTTATACCTTGCAAGCAAATTAAATTTTCTTGTTAACATATTGGCAGTCCCCTTTTAGTGACTACTTATTAGGTATGAGTTTGCGTAACATCATCTTAATATTTTTCTTAGATTAAAGAAATGCTTTATTTATAGATAGAAATGAACAGCCCGCTGTTTCATTGCTGGTCATCCCAGAGGAGAAGGACTTACTGTCTAAGTAATTTTCTTGTCAAGATTTGTGGATTTCTTAATCATCTGATTACAGAAGAATCTTGCATGTTCATACGATAGAAACTATCAGCATGGTATTGTTCATGCAAAAGTAAATGTAAATTAAATTTGATACAGACCATGTCTATTTAGGGAGGTTATTTTGCTTTTAACAAACAGCGGATCAGTCTGGGGGAAGGTGGGTGTGCAGATTTCTGTTAATTACATAGGGATGGTGGTAATAGGAGGAACAAAATGAGTGTCACACTTGTGTTCTAGCACTGAAAATAGTGGGGCAAGATAAACAATGTGATGGATGTGGATAGACAGAATTACTATCAGCATTTATTAGGCAGTGGTTGCATGGTTTGCATGGATTATTTAAGAAAAAAATCTTCCAGTGAAAAATTTACTTCTAAAGTAGGTTATTATAACACTAATTCAAAGTACAGGTAAATATTAATCAATTTACTTTAAATAATCTATACAATGACAATACAAAAATATAAAATAATTTCTGGATAACGTACATGCTGATTTAAGTTAGGACAGATGAGTGGTTTTTTTGTATAAGTTCCAAACCAGAAATGTAGAATGTGAGAAGGTGAGAGCTGCTTTGATTAGTTTTGTTTGCAGTGGCTTACAGAAGCAAACAGCTGTTTTTTGGTAACTCCTTTTGATAACTTTGTAATATTAAAAACAAGCTTATTGAGGTAAACATTGAGAGTTTTGTAGAAATCCATGGCTAACTCTATCTGGCCTAGAGTGCAGTACATTATCTGGAATAACCGGAAATGTAACTGTGAAAAGTGATTGATCTTCTAATGTGCTGGAAGTGGGATTGAGCTTTTACAAAGATGACAGGAAAGGGTGAATTCTTGGAGCTTTTGTTACTAAAAGTGAAAAGAATTTTTTTTGGTTATGTGGGAAGTATGCAGAATACTGGTAGTCTAGTATGTTAAGTTGATTTGTGTGTTAAAGTGATATTTTTAAGAAAAACTAGTAGTCTAGTTTGAAGAAAAGTATATTGTTAATCCAGCATTTAGTAGGGGCTGTAATTACTAAATGCCCCTTTGTTAAAGTGGTGTATTTGCAACTTGATATAATTGTGTAGATTAATTTAGCGTGTGGCTTTGACTTAGTATGTAGCTGCTTCAAGTAGTTTAAACATGCTGCATAGTTCTTATAATAGAGCAAAAGCTGCAGTAACACTAATGTAGCATATCTATGCTTGCAGTTTTTACTTCTGGAGAGTTGTCATAGGGCCTTTGAATAGATATGTACCTCACTAGTTTTCTCTTTTCTCCTGTTTTATTTTTAGTTCTGTGTTTTTTGAATTTTAATGGCATGAAGAGCAACTGATGCGAAGCTAAAAGATGGGCAACATCTTTATGAAGATTATTTGTAAACATTTAAGTTTTGATACTTAACTTGCTGTTTTCACAATGAATATGAGCCATTTAAAAATCAGTAATTTTGTATAACACTTAAAAATATGATTATATGTTGTTGTTGCCAGTTTACTCAATGAATAGTATTCAAGCCAGGTTGTTTTGTTTTTTTTCTTTTCTTATGTGAAGGTCACAATTGAAAGTGTTTAAGGTCAGGTTGGACAGGGCTTTGAGCAACCTGATCTAGTGAAAGATGTCCCTGTCCACAGCAGGGCGGTTGGACCAGATGATCTTTAAAGGTCCCTTCCAACCCAAACCATTCTGTGAGTCTATGATAAATTGCTGACCACTGTACAGAGTTAGGACTTTACCTTGAAGGCATCAAAGTAAGCTCTCATCTGAACAAAATGTAAAGTTTTAAGTAAATTAAAAAGAAATCCAAAGACATAAATTTTGATTGTTTATTCTGTTAATAATGAAGAGATTAACATGAACATGATAAATATTGATAAATATTAGCTGTAGAATAATCCTCTTTGCAACTGAAAAGAGACATCACAGTAGGGGAAAAATTATATAAACATATTGATTAGAGATTAAGTATTTTTCTCTCATTGACTAGTTTTACCTCAAACAGAATTAGTTATGGAACCTCAACTTTTTACAGATTTAATTTGATTTGTTGTAGAAGCAAAATAAATTCACATGAAGACAATATTAAGTATTATGACAATGCGTATGGGAAATGAGTTTCTCGTATAAATGATAATCATGAAACAAGGATGTATCTAAATCTTTTCTTATCCCTAAAGCCTCTTCTTTATATTTATTTCTTACATGACTGCTTTTATTTATTTATTTTTCAAACAGCTTTTGGTTTTCTTCAAAGATTGCATTAAACTCTGCTCATCCTAAAGCCTTGGCAAGAGCCTCAGATAAAACACTTGTTTTAGACTTCATCAGTCAGGCAAAGCAGATGTCTAGCAATAGAATATTTCCCAGATCTTGTTTTCAGTGTGACTTTGGGAGATGGTGCACTGTACAAATAGAAACTGTCTGCGAAATTAAATATTTTAAAAAATCATAGTTTGATTAAGGAATTATTTCTTGATAGGTATTCTTGGAAGCTAGAAAAAACATTTTCTGCCTTTTGGGGCAACTGTGTATTTCAAATTAATTTTAATGGACTAAAAGATGTCCAGATTGACTGCTGTTTGTGGAAAAGCTGTTCTGTGCTGAAAGATGTTTTGTTGTTTGTCTTGTTTCAGAAATTCCATGGCTGATACTCTGAGGTTGATCAGTGGAGCTCAACATCCTGGCTCTGCTGCAGGAGTCTACGAAACAACTCAGCACTTCAATGACATCAAAGAACACCTTCATGTAGTAAAGAGGGACATTGAGCATTTAGTACAACGAAATATGGTAACTTATGTGCTGGTAGTGTAAAGCATGACTGTAATACTTCTTTATCTGGCTGTTAGTGAAAAGCTAGGATGAGGCAGCATGCAATTTAGGGAGCAATTAATCCTTCATTAAGCTGCTTCGCTAGAACTGCACTGCCTTGACCTAACTGCATGATCTGTGTTTTGATGAGAAGTTTTGCACAAAGAGCATGATTTTTAGTCTTAATTTCCTGTAGAAACAAGGTCAAGCAATTAGGTTTTCTGGGTGCTTTTTTTGTGTTTGTCCCCCTACTTAACAGTTCTGTACAGAGGAGATTCTCTATTGCTTCTGCATAGAAGGGAGAGCTTTAATCAGGGGAAACTTTGATCAGGCTCCACTTAAGGTTTCTAGGTGTGAAAGATGGCTGGGTTCACATTCAGGAGCACCTTAGTCTAGCCTAGGTAGCAATTAAGGTGAATTAGCTTATGATCCCATAGAAGGTTCTTGATTTCTGGGTTAATTTACCAAAGATTTATTCTTTCCCCTATAACCCTTAATTTAACATCAGTCAGTTTATCTGAGAAACATAAAGGGGAAAGTGAGATAGGGAGTAAGATTACGATTTTTCAAAGTAGTGTAATTTCTGTTTTCTGCTTGCGTTTCAATTTTTAGATCATGTTCCAAAGACCTTGTTTTGTTTCTTACGTATAAGTCTTTTGATGGCATGTCTTGTTTGCTCTTTTGTCAAATATTGTTTTTTCTTGGTTTTTAGCCATCTAGTGAGAAATTGAAGTGTCCAGACTTGCCACCGTTTCCATCGTGCTTATCTACAATGCACTTCTTCATCTTTGTAGCGGCGCAGACGGTGTTATTCATTGGTTATATCATGTATAGGTAAGTATGTTTTTCTTTAAAGACAATAGCGCAAATGATTTTAGAACTTCTGACAGGAAATGCAATTGCAATGGTATGATTATGTTAATCTTCTTTAAAACAAGCAATTATTCAGATTGGAAGACACCTTGGGAGGTCTCTAGTTCAACCTTCTGCTCAAAGCAGGGTCGACACTGAATTCAGACCAGGTTGCTTTAGTGCTTAGACTTGTCAGGTCTTAAAAACCTCCAAGAATAGAAAATTTACCACTGTTACGGATCCCATTGGAAATGTTTAATTATCATAATGAAATTTGTTTTATTCTCCCCCCACCCCCACAGTATATCTAGTGGAACCTGCCCTGTTTCAATTTGACTGTTGTGTCTCTTTCTGATAATGTGCATCTCTGTAAAGAAACTGTCCCTGTCTCCTCAATAACATCTTGTGGGTATTAGAAAGCTGCTGTTAGACCCCTTGAAGCCTTCTTTTGTCCAGGATGAATAAGCCCAGTTCCCTCCCTCTCTTTTGAAGCATGTGCTTCAGCTCTTGATCACCATCCTTGTGGTCCTCTGCTGGACTTACTGAAGTTTATTAATATCTTAACAAAATCTGATGTGATTTTTTTTTTTTTTTGGCTGTGTGTACCTACAAGCTGCTTATCCCATCTTACAAATTCCTCAGTGAACTTTTTTTATGATACATACCCCTTCATCTGTCTCCTACATACGATATTGATAGCGTATGGACTATTCCCCCCCCTCCAAATTAATTGGAATGTTTCCTCTGTTCTCTTCTTCCTCCTTGTAACATCATAATGTTCAAATTAAATTTGCGTTGATGGAAAGGAAAACCTATTGAGAGTAAGGACTTACTTGCTTGGTAGTCTTCCCTCCTGCTTCTCACCCACACTAATCAGGATAAGGAGTAGGGACCAAAATAGCTGCATTGCCTTTCAAAGATAAAATGCTGTTTGCTACCTCTATGGAAGCATAACTAGTATTAATATAAAACCAATGCTGCTGATAACACTAACTTTCATTGTGTGTCTGCTTCTCTACAAAGTGGAGAGAGTGCATTTCTTATGTATGCCATGTTATGCCATCAACTGGAAAGATGGCTTCCAAGACAAATGAGGAGCTGGTCCCCTCCTGTTCTTTTTGATGCCCTTGTAATTCTAGTATCTGTGTGTGGTTGATCCACAGTATCTGTATCCACTAAGAAAATAAGTATGTTCTGTGCCAGAGGGAAAAGGAAATCCCATTTCAAGTAAATTCTTTCACTGCTTAGTTGCATGTGTTTCCTTTTCTATGATGATCTTTTGGCCAATCAGATACTGAGAAGCTTTGGAAAATTTTAGTTGAAATATTTTAAAAATCAGTTCATACGTTTTTTCACAGTTTCTGGCTTCTGTCCAGTATGTTGTTTCCCTCTGTGTCTGATGTACAATTGGAACTATAGCGATGTGACCAATGTCTTTGTAAATAGAAAAAATTATATTCTATTTTTGTGATTTTACTTATATTGGATTTCCCTAAGTGCCTGTTGACAAGGAATGGAATCTTTTAATCCCCAAATACAAGAAATATTTATTTATTTAAACGAGTTAGCTAGTTTTATACTGTAAGTACTTAATGAATTCTCTTCTGCTTTTTCTTTCAGGAGTCAACAAGAAGCAGCAGCCAAAAAGTTCTTTTGATGACCTGTTCCTGTTGTGTGTACATAACAGCAGTATGTATGCACAGAAAATTATACACTTCTGTAAATGAGGGAAATTTTAGTGCTTGATATACTTCAATATTGTAAATTATTGAATTTTGTTAAACAAAATGAGTTCTCATTTAAACTTAATGCTAAAGTTAAAAACAGACGGGGGAGCAGCGGAGCAAATGCTAGATAGGGGAAGACTGCAGACCCTATCTAAGACTTATGTTTTCAACTAACTTTCTCATAAATACTGGAAGTCAAATGCCATATTCCTCCTCTTTTGTTAAGATTTCAGAGGAGGGAATTGAAACACCCAGGTTTGGTTGTTGTTCATAATGAGAATTGCAGGTGGATGATTTGTGCAGAAAGCTTGCCACTAAGTGTCCTGACATATCAGTTTAAAAAATCAAAAGCAAGCAAAGTGGTGGTGGTGGTGTAAAAATTTGTTACAAACATTTCATTTCTTTACCACTTGGATTTAACAGTTTAAGAATTATTTAGTTAATTCTAATTCTTCATGAAATATAGATTTAAGCACTTTTTAATATATGGACACAAAGACAGGCCTTTAACAGTCTGGCTGTTGATACCTGATAAAGAAAACAAGCTATACAGAACAAGCAAATAAAGGCTTATCTCCTTATTTTGGGTTTTGGTTTTAGGCAGTGAGAGAAAACATGATAAAGTAGTTTCTTCAAGTTTCAAGTCTGTCTGTAATTTTGTTTGGAGATTTGTGGAACTTTTTCAGTAAAGATATCATTGCTTTATACCTCTTCAAATCTGATTTTATTAAGGATGTATTTAGTGTATGAATACGTCTTTACTTTTATAAAGCTGTCTTGTGTCTTTCCTGTATCAAATACAGATGCTTTAATTTAAATGTTGACATGGCAGGTATTCTAAACTACAGATACTGAGTGTTAACCCATTTCTTCACAAGCTGTTGCTTCAGACATGTTTGTTAATCCAGCAGCTATTGTAGAACCAGTTTTGTGTGTCAATTCCTGCTTTAATATCAAAAGCATAAGACTGAATGTGTGTTTTTGATACTGCTTATCAGGTGAACATTTGCTTCAGGAAAGAAACAAAGCAGATAGCCCAAATTAGGAATGTGAAATGAACTCATTTTGCCTTGTTTACATATCTGTGGTAACTTTGTCCTTGAGTTCTTTGTGTGTAGAGTTAGAATAGGGGGTTTTGTTTGGTTGTTTTTTGGTTTTTTTTTTTAATTCTATAAAATACACAAATGCATCAGGATATGTCACTTTTAATTATTAATCTGTTTGTTTGAATCTGCAAAAATTATCTGGAATCTAGCATACTACTGCATTCCTACAATCTACTCCCTTGGAGTGCAGCACATGCTGCCAAATTCAGTGTAATGAAGAACACTTCAGTATTGTGCCTGTCAGTTTGGAGAAATGATAAATCTATGCAATATATTTTGTTACTTAAAATACAGTGTCCAAAAAGTGGATGTCTGTGCTACACCAGTAAAACGATACTACCTATACACCTATTTACATAGCTACAGTATGTAGTATACTATAAGTGGTACAACTTTATAGATTCATTTCTAAATTTGAGAAGATTTTGCTGTGCTAATTGGAGAAACTACTGCCTCAAGCTAATCTTGCTGGATAAATAGGGTAAATCAATGAAAAAAAAACTTTTCAGGTAAGCTAGAACAACACATAGGAATTTATCCATTCAGTTCTTTCAACACCAGCAAATATTTACAGGTGCCTTGAGTCTAAGCTATTACAACCCTGACTCTTCTAAGTAAACTTAATATATTTTCTTAAATTGTTTTGAAAATGTACAGTGTTGTTCCTTTCAATTGCAAGCCTTCCTGCATCAGTGCAACACCTAAACAAGTCCCTCTCTCACAGCAGGCTTTGCAAGACCCTTTATACAGAAAGGCTAGCAATTGTATTTGGATAAGTAGGTGCATATATCTGGTGTAATGAGGAACAGCTCTAATGTATCAATTGGAGGAAGCCTGTATTTTTTGTTGCTGTGAATTTATCCAACCGTAACTTTGTTTTAAAGCTGGAGCAGCCCATACTTTTGTGTCTTTTGTTAGAAAGAAGAGAAGGCTGGGGATGGTATCTAGAGGAAAACTTGAACCTACAATTGTATCTTCAGTATGAGGCTCAGCTTGTGTGTTTATGCTGCTAATAGATCTGACATATCTCCCATGTGCAACTAGGAAACTTTTGTATTAGGGAGCAGAAGGTCTAAAGCATAACATCCAAAAAGTGATAACTTTGCTTCATGCTTCATTTCACAGTCGTCTCTGCTTGGAACTTCCATAATTGCCTCGTCACTCACTGGATCAAAGGAAAGCTCCCAATTGCCCAGCTCAAATTTTGTCCTGTCTGTTCTTGAAGTGATAGCAACAAATTTGGACTTTAAGAATATTTGTCAGTCAATGTAGCTTCCTGTTATGGCTGGCTACTAGAAGTTTCTTTCAACACTGATAGTGTGTTTGATTCTTATCAAGTAAGATTTCAGGACTAGGAGAAGAAGACACCTTGGAATCCAGTTTGACAATATGGGGGAGACCAAGTCTAATAATTGTATTTGAAGTGTGGAGGATAAGTAGCAAATATTTGGCAGTGACAAGAGAATCTCATTGTGCAGGTGAGGGTATGTTAAATACATGGTCACACCTGACTTTTTCAAAAGTAAAATTCACAGTATGGTGTGTAAATTACCTATCTTTCTGTTTGAAGAAAATTTGACATTTATCAATGCATCAATTACTGTAACACCGAAGACTGTCTACTGTTTTTTTTTTTAAATTCAAACAGCTGACATTTTCATATGTTTGTTTCTGTCTAATGTAAATTGACACTTGGAGTTCAGAGATAACCTTATTTGAATAAAGATGCATATTTTTAGTAAGCTTTTTTCTTTTAATTTGGTACATGTCAGTGAAATCCAAGCAAGTGTATTTGAAGCATTCTTTACCCTCTGTTGTTCAGAGAGTTTGAACGCTTTGAGATCTGTGTTCAGTCCTACCTGATACTGAAGAGTTAACGGCGTTCAGAGGCTGAGGCTCCGCCTGGATTGAAGAGGCAGATGACTGCCATTGGTTAGAAAGATACCTGAATCCAGCCTCAGTTCATTCTGTGCCAAGGGATTATATCCTCTGTGTTGCAGTCTAATGCAAGAGTGACTGTAACCTAAAAGTAAGAGATTCGCTCAAAAGCTTGTGTTAAGAGTATCAGACTTGCCTTGAGTATCAGACACTTAGAGTCAAATGTAAAGTAGTGTGTCAACTTCTAGGTCTCTTAACAGCAAATCGAGTTGCTTGCTGGCTGCTTTGAGTATACAAAGTACCTCATTTTTCTGAGCTGAAGATTTGTCTATAGCTCTGAAGTTCTTTCTCCAGATTCCCCAAACTGCGGTCACCTGGGTGCTCTGTGCCTGTTTGTTGGAATACAACATGCCTACCCAAAACAAGTCAGTCTGTGTCTCCTTGTTTGTTTTTTTGTTTTGTTTTGTTTTTTTTTACTGTTCTGTCCAGTAAACTGTTTGTCTGTGGTAACCTCCCACAATATGAGTGAGAATTCCCTCTTTGACCATCATTTTCCCCCAGCCAGGAGCAATTTCTCCAATAGGTGGAGGAGAGGAATCTTCAATTAAATCTATTCAAGCTGAGAAAGCCCTAAAACATTTATTTCTCTTTCTGTGCAAGTGATCTAACGTTCCGACTTGCATAAAAGGCAACATCTTCTAGAGGGATGAAGGGGGGGGGAGAGTCTTGGTCCTTTCAAAGAACACTTAGCTACTTCTGAATTATGTGGTTGCAGTTGTCTGCTGTGACTGTGTTTTGGGAACATAGTCTCGAGAAAAGGCTGGGAGTTTGGATGCTTGCCTGCCTATAGCATTTTTGTGCTGGCCTCTCTGTGAGGCTTTTAGATTTTGCTCTTTGTGATTTGCCTGTTTCGAGACTCTGAATTCTATTCTGGGGCTGGAGATGCCTGCGTTCTTTGAGTATGGAATACAGGCTTTTTTTCGTATCGTCCAGTTCCATCAGATAACAGGAACTGAGCCTTTAATTTTGATTTCACTTAAGCTAGAGGGAAAGGATGTTGATTTAAAAGCAAAAGAAGTGGCAACCTGAGTACTTAATTAGCAGCTGTCCATATTTTTTCATTAAGCCTGTGATCCCTATAATCAACAAAAAGCAGTAAGTGGTTTGTAACTTCAATATAGGCAGTAGTTAAAGCACCTGTCAGGAATGGGAATTATTCTGGAGGTACTAGTCCTTGTTAACACCCAAGGTAGGTGCTTAAAACTTGATGCTTTAGGTACTCGGTGAGCCATCGGTTCCTTATCAGTCTGTTTATTTGTTACTTGTATACACAGATTTGTGATAAATATCTAAACCCACAATGAAGTGAGCAATTCACTAGCTAGCTATGTAGCGTCTTCCAGAGTTTTATCACGAGTCTCTTGTGTTTCTCAGCAGTTTCTAATAGGGCCAATAACTTTTAAAGCACTTTTTGTTGTCTTCAATTTTGAATCTAACATTGGAAAGCTTTTTTGCTGTTAGGAAGGTTCATGAGACCTCTCTCAAGACCTGGAGGGCAAGAGCTCTCAGGTTCTCAGCAATCCCTTCCCAAGACAGTTTTCAGCTTTCTTGCCTTCTCAGTCAATTCCGTGAAAGCATCTCTTTCAGGAAGAAGGTGGTGTTAGCAACATTTCTATAAGGATCAAAGTCTATAGCCAAGACTTGTGCCCAAAATTACAGAAGCTTCTCTTCAGTAAAGATCAATAGCACAAAGTTTAACAGATACACTTCCCATACACTTAGAGAAGACTATTAGACCTAATACTGTAAAAATCAGCGCTGCATGTCGTATTTGTGAAGTGCACAGTACAGACACACTGGTGCTCCCTGTTCCTGTTAGGAGAATTTTAAATAAAGATGAGCCAACCACTGCAAGTGGACTCGAGAGGCATTTGGCACTAAGTAGTGATGTTGTGGGACAGCGTTCTAACATTTAATCAAGTGGCTGTTGAAGCACAGAGAAAATGCTAATCATCAAAAGTTATATTTATCTGATCTTAAATATCTCTTCTAGCATGCTTTTCTGTGATGCCTACCATACTGTTACTGAACTCGTGCATTTTAGGATCAGTGCATAAACAGTGCTAATATATTACTTTAACCTGTTCAATGGTTTTTGCAAGCTGCTGAAAACCTCTTTATGATCTGTATGTGGTTCATGCAGTATTTCTTGGCCCCTTTTGTGCCGCGTACTTCTGTAAGATACAGCTTGGCTATGGAGCTGAAGCAGATTGAGAAGATGACCTTCCAGCTACTGATGTCCATGTTGCTAGTTTCTGTTGTTAGCTTTGTGTTGTAAGCAGTGGATGCGAAGGTCAGCAAGACCAAAACTTTTATCCAGAGTTGTGATGCCCTCTTTCTCTGGCCACCATCTATTTCTAGAGATGCCTGAATTGACTTCTCCCCTCATTTAAGATTTTCTGTCTCCCACTCTTGAGATCCACTGTGTTCTGAGCAGTGTGGGGCAAGTCACTTATGTGAGTCAGGCTGTAGTTTAGGAACTAGGGATTGGCTTTTTTCAGAGGCTTGCTCTTGGAGCAGTATTTAACTCAAATAATTTTCTAGAAATAACCCTTTATTTTCATTTCTTCCTTTTAAAGTTGGCTGCGTAACAGAGAGGGATTCTTGTGGTATTGTTCTGGGTCATGGGGTTGCCACTACTGCTCGGCAGTCAGAGTGCTCATCCAAAGACTGTCCTTCTGAAAGAGATGCTAGATTAGACCTGTTTGTAGGACTTTTCAAATACCAGCAAAGTGAGCAAGGTCTTGGTTTTAGCAGAAGGCAAAAGGGTTGCGGATTAGAACCATCTCTGCTTGTCCATATTGTCTCCAGGCTGGGAAAATGGTATAAAAGTACCATTGAGCAGAGTCGGACAGCACTTACCAGATGATAGTTGCACAATGATAAGGCAATAGCATAGGTCATGCTGCATTCTGCTGGAACTAGCATGCCTGCACAGCTACAGCTGACCTGCAGTGGACCCACAGCACTAGCTAGTTGTCAGCTCTTTTGAACAAACACAGCCTTCTCTAAAATGCAGAAGGGTGGGAAATAAGGGATGCTGTCAGCCGTTCTGCCCTTTGAATGCCTCCGAGAGGCAGCAAACTGGACCAGGGAAGTCTTTGGGTGTAACAGAAAGTCAGACTGACTTTGCCAGGCCCATTTTGAAGTAACTCTCTGAGGTAGGAGCAGTGATACCTTATGTATAAACTTAATGCTGGATTTCTAGTTTTTAAATTTTGCCAGAAAACAGATTTTATTTAATTTTATGCATTCAACTTCAGATTAATGCATGCTCAAGTTTAGCATTCTCTGCTTAAATTGGGATTAGCTATCTAATGTTTATGATCTCAGTTCCGTTAGCCATTTGGGCAAATACAATACAGTTTTGGTAATCAAGGTCAGAGTTGGCCAAATGTAAAAAGTTGACTCTTCCCATAAATTCTTGCAACTTTTGCATAGTTCTGAATTGATTATAAAAAACAATTTTGATTTAAGAAAAATGCTTTCTAGGTATTTGTAGTATATCAAAGTAGTTTTCTTGTGATTTGGAATTCTAGCTTCTGAGTGATACTCTATTTCAAGAGGAGATTTAAAGTTTCTTTTTTAATCACTAATAATCCAGGATTACAGAATGTCCCGGGTTTGGTTTTGTTTTTTTTTTAATACTAACAGGTCTGCTTTAATTAGAAAGGCTCTAATACAGATTAAGGCATTAGGCAAATTGGAATCTTCCCATCTCTCAGTGAAATTATGAGAGTGCTGGGAGAACCATTTAGATAATCAAAATTACAGAATGTTTCATTAAGGCATGTGCAGTCAGTCACAGTAGGATAAATGCTCAAAACCCAAAATCATGAACTTTTGAGACCTAGCAGATGATTTCCCCAAATAGTCTTACGATCTAGGTAGCAGAGCCTGCAAATCTTCACCTGCAAAGAGCTGGTGAGGCTAATGATGTGAATAAAAGTTTGAAAGATGAGGACCTACACAAGCAATCCACAAACAAAAGATATCAAAGCTGTATTATAGCATATAGAATCAGTCAGATTCATTTCTCCTTTACTGACAGTTAAGATTAAAATACTAGGTGTTCTATGCAGCACCAGTCAAAGTAGTGATCTAGATGGAGACAGCCTGGTGAAAAGTTGAAATAAACCCTAAGGAATGAAAAGTAGGAAGATGTGATTTGCTTTTTTTGTGATTACTTGAAAAAAAAGTAATTATAGCAGTAATGCCCCATTCATCTGTGAGACAAACCAACCATGTGAAAAGTGGATGAAGAAAAATCATTCAATGTACTTTCTGTCCAATGTGATAAAATATCAATGGATAAAAAGGGTTGGGGTTTTTGTTTAATGAAGAATTCCAGTTTTGAAATCTCATTTGGTTGTGTAAAGCCAAAAGGGTTTTCTGCTCAGTAGCCTGAATTTTACAATTTTACTATGGCCATTTAGTCAACCAGATATTTAATTCAGATCCATTGTGTTCCAGGGAATGTTTTCATCTCTGTGAAAGTGAGAATTTCAAGACTGAAGAAGTCAAAATGCTATTGCACACTATAATTGATTTTTGTGTGTGTGTGTACAATTAGCTTAAGGTATTAATATAAAAAGTAGGTAGCTGCATCTAATGATTTTTTTTGGAGCAATCCGAACCATCTGCCTCTAGATATTAACGAGTTCACTCTTTAATCCAGATTATGGCTGACAAACTGGTTTTGGCATTCACGTTTCACTAGCATTGTGCCCTTGAAGAGCTGATGTGGCTGTAGAAACTCTCTTGCTTACAATTGTTGGTTTTGAAAACATTTTTGGTTTGGTTTGGCTTTCTTGTAGTTGTTTGCTCATAGCTCCTTTTTTCTTGAGAAGATGGCCTTTCTAATGAAAAGTATGTTGAGCAACCAGGTAAAGAATTTGGGACTTGGAGGTGGAGGGGAAGAAAGCAAAGAAGAAAGCACTCCTTCTGATCCAGCAGCAGCTGCAGGAATGACCAGAGAGGAGTATGAGGAATATCAAAAGCAAGTGGTTGAGGAGAAGTGAGTACCTGTTCCCTTATTATCAGTATGGGGCTGATTCTTGGTAACTTTGTGCAGATAAAAATAACCCAAGAAAAAGCCAAACATTCTGCACTCTTCCCTTTTTTTAAAGCAGAAGAATCTTTGCTAAAGAGACTTCCCAAAATAAAAGTTCACCAACTGGAAATGATAAAATATGATGTTTCACTCTTCCCACCTAATTGATGTTACTTTATCTATCAAATTTTTCCATAGGTACAAAGCTGCTTGTAGTGCAGGAGTTAATTCTAAGATGTGTATGATTTCTTCTCCTAGAACTCCATGTGGAGTACACTTTCAATACATCATCTTTTCTTTGTCCACATTTATTATGG